GCGGCTTCCAAGACCCGGCCAAGGGGGTGGACATGAGGGTGGTGAAGCGGAAGCAGTTCGATATGCCGGCCATGTCGGTAAGCGGGCGGTGCGGTGGAGGCGCTAGAACACTGTGAATGGACTGTCTCTCTTGCCTAGTGCGCCGTGCCTAACAGTCCCTCCTGTCTCGCTTTCCTTCCCCAGACCGCGGACGCCATTGTCTGCCTCGAGTACATCGGCCATGATTTCTACGTCTTCCGCAACGAGGACTCGGGGGAGATCAATGTCGTCTACAAGCGCAAGCTGGGCGGCGTTGGCGTGATCGAGCCCCGCGCATGAGGGGGGGACTCGAGGGCTTGGGAGAGGAGTGCGGCCGGGGAAAGAGGGGTTATAAAGTGTGGGAGCGATGCGATGGAAAGCGATGGAGAGGGGAGGAGCAAGGATGGGAATGCGGGGGAGGCAGAAAAAGGGGCGAGGGTGGAGGGCGAGGGCCGTGGCCGGGCTAGAGACGGGGGTCCTTTGACTCCTTTGGAGGGGCTTTGAACGCCACCTTCGGTGAACGCACGACTCTCCACATGAAGTCATGAAGACACTCCCTGTCGCCTCGCAACAGCTTTCCTGTGGGTGGGCGCAGGCGGGGCACGCCTGGTTGGAGGCCGAGGTCGAGGGGGTTGCGCAGGCTACAGAGGGCGATAGATAGATAGGTAGGAAGGAAGGAAGTGGGGGGGAAGTGAGATGGAGATAGGGAGGAAGGGGATAAGCAGGCGAAAGAAGGGGCGATGCGGGGGGAGGGGAGGACGTAGCAGATGGTGTATCCGGGTGGGAGAGGCGGCTTGCTTTGAGGTTAGGAAGGGAGTCGAGCGCGGACAGGAGGGTGTATAGCAGACAAAGTGGGCGGGAAAAGCAAACGCGAGCATTCGTTTCTGAACCGGGCGGTCTGCGAGAGGAATATAGGAATAAATGAACAAGGGAAGAAATAATTAAGGAACAAAGGAATAAAGGAATACAGGAATACAGGAATGGAGGAAATGAAAGGAATAGCAGGAATGTCGATGCCCTTCCTCCCTTACCACGAGCCACTCAACACAGTTTCGTTCGAAAGTTGCGCCCCAAAACGCGCCTACCCAACTCAAGGCTCATCTCTTCACTCTTCCCTCCCGCCCTCCCGCCTCATTACTCCCGTGCCCCTCAGACATTCCCTCGTCCTCCTCCTCCTCCACCTCTTCGCCCTCCTCCTC